TCAGCACCCAGACTCTAAGCGGTATTAAACGAGTGATAAAAACCTCCGGAGCACACATTTATTCCCCTGCCATGTTTATTGAAAAGTTACAAAACGAGTTGATAACTGATATTCATTGCTTGCGTATTGCGCGAAGTGGCGGAGAACGCAGCTGTGCCGGTGTAACGTTAATTTAGGACTAGGAAATACTGACTCACTGATAGTATTGCTCATGCCTACGTGAACGTTAAAACAATAAAATGGTAAAAGGCACCGGATTTCATAGGAGTCAAACTTTCATGTGACACTAGAAAAGTGTTTAAGACCAGCCAGCCGGTCTTTATCAACCGTTTAAAACCGGCCATGTGACAGACTCTCGACCAATATGAATGAGTAACCTGTCTTAGGTATTTATGAATACCAAGTTAAATACAAAATTAACAATCCAATGGATGGACAATTTTCTGTTTGTGTCTGGCATGAATACCTCACTCTGCATCGATGGGAAAAATTTGCGTGTTTTTTCCAAATTCAAGCCCGATGTTTTGTCACACGCAGGTGCTGCTATGCGCATGACCGGTGCTATTCAAGACTCAAGAGCGACGGTCATTGCGTCAAGGAAACTGGGGACGTGTACACCATGCTGTATCGATCGAAGCAAAAGAACTGTGGACAGAGTAACGTCCAGATCATATGCAGTAAGTGTGTTGCCGAATATGAAGTTATGAGACTCTTTAGAGTGAGTGAAATCTGGTACACGGTATCATCTGGAGAAATGTCTCTACTGAGCAATTTCTATAGGTGAATACGTCTCCACAAGGTTATCACGAAATAGATATACGGATTTTATTCAAAAACTAGGAATTTCCAAGATGTGTTGATACGTCGCTAATTGAAGTGTTTTATGTAAGGGATATAAAGACCGAATTTCAGCCCAAGAAATTAATTCTGGCTTATAGGAGCATTTTGAAAGTTCACTTTGAAACTCGAAAACTTTAGTACACGAGAACAAAGATCCAGTAAGATAGCTGTGAGGCTGTGTGTTGAGTGGGTCGAATTGGAGGGGACAACGACAATCTTCGCTTCTGTACCAAAAGTGAATGCCTTTCGGGGTGTGGCTTTGTATTAACTTTACATGCACCATATATAGACGCCTTACATCATTTGACGTTACAATATTCGGGCAGGTTTTTTAATTATTCTGTGATACGTACGGGTAGACACTTTGCTCATTTCAATGTAACTGAGCTGAAACAAATAACAAAAGCTTCCACCGTTGAGGGCGCCCCGTGCAAGTGGTATATTTTAAGGATGCAATTGGGTGCGTTTACAAGATGAAATTTTTTGGCAGTAAAATCAAATAAACGTACTTGTGCAGCAGACGAATGAAAAAGCCACTTCGGTATTCCATATACGAATATGAAAATCAAGATTCGACAATATTTACTTCTCTAGATAAAAACGTAAGATGTCTAATATGGAGACGTTACAATTGTAAAAAGATATGTAAACTGCAGATGATTGAAATTCATGGTTAATTCCCTCATCGAAAGAAAAATATATGTATACAACGTACACATATCATCAGATTGGGTTGGCCTACTTCGTAACTTACTAAAATCTTCTTTCTTTTCAATTCCTTCGCCGGCAACCTCTAAGATTTTGCTCGCATACAGCGGATTCATTCTTCCAAAACTTAAAAAATCAACTCTTTATGTGCTCAAGCGCAGAATATATCGTAAAGCAAGCCAGATGAACTACACTGATTCGTTTCTCTCTTTGATTTTTTTTCCAGAGCGTGCAAGGCAGTACAACTGGCTGGAGTCACTGGCCGTCTTTTGGAAGACCAACTGCGCTGCTGGAGCCTGTGAATGCGACCGCCAGGCCGCCCTCTGCTTCAAGCGGAACCGGGGCACTTTCTCTAGAAGCTACGTCAATTATCATAAATACACACGCTGCAGGTATTGAGGTGGATCTGGACTCAGTGAAACAATACATGAACATTAGCATGCTATGGATCCTTAAATGGTTGCACTGATATTAAAGCTTTGGCCGCTTGAATGTGCTCTTATAGTAATGTCGGACGCGAAAAAGTCTATGTTTTGAACGTACAGTCCGCATTAATTGGTGCCAATATGACACGTACAATTCTGTGGAAATAACGATCTTGCCCTACCCTTAGCCTAAAAGCTCATTGCCAACGATAATTGTGTGTCACCCCCCCCCCCCCCCGGAAATGTGTCCCTGGATATTTACCGGCTCACAACCCAGTAAATCTGTCCGGGGACACATTTACCTATAGGTAAATCCCCCTTCGAGTAAAATCTGTCCCTGCTCAAACATTAAGCCCGGGTAAATTTGTCCCCGTTAGGCGCTATGATGTTGGGAACATTGACCAATCAAAGTAGGCGTTAAATCAATGCGGCCATCGCCGAGCCAGGAATTACTACGCGTGCAAAAAGTCCACCAAATAAGGATTGCTGCCATTTTTTTTTTTGCTCAGGTGGACCTCTGCGCTATTCATCTGCTAATTTGTTTTATGGAGAGCTCTCATTTATCCTCTCTTTGAATACTTTCCAAAATTTCAAAATTCAAAACAATTTCTGGCTGTAAAATGAGTTTGAAGGGGGTAAACATGTAGTGGACACATGGTGGCGCTCTATGTGTGCTCCACACTGTACGCACGGATGTCAACCTCGTTACCAAGAATGCCATCGAGGCCTATGAGCCTTGGAGTCAGGATTCATGATTAGTGCCCTCCTATATAATCCAATAGGATACTTAGCCGTTTTGTTGATTTAATATTTCTTTATATTTTTTATCAGTGTCTGTGTATGTTTTGATGCCAATGTTACACATCTCTGGAAGATGTTCATAATAAAAGCTTTTGAAAAATTACACCATTAGTAATCTCCGTTAATTGTTTGTGTGTGTGTGTTTGTTTGAAAAACAGTATGCACTCCTAATACAAGAGCCGTAAAATGGAGGTGTTATTGGGGAATAGAGACCTAAATTAAGCTTTCTATTTCTTGGGGTGGATCTGGCGGTTCTTGCCACAACACCAGTTAATTGCATCAGGTGATCTGACAGGCATCGCGCAGTTTAAAAACAAATGTTCGTACCATAGATATAGAATAATCTTTTTATTCTATATCTATGGTTCGTACATAACGTGACGTGCATAACGCGCGAGCGCACGCCAAATAGGGCGTGCGCTCTGAATCATAGACTTTACAATTGTATTAAGTTCTATATCTATGCTCTGAATAGCCGATCGGCGTCGTTTACGTGTTCATCACATAGATATAGATTAGAACTACGTCTTATGTATTAAAAAAAATAGTTCTATATCTATAGGTTCATCACTGCCGGAACCCAGAGATACTATAGGTTTTCCCGGCCAATTTTTCTAAAATTGTGTTAATTTGAATGCACATCTTTAATCCCAGTTCAATTCAGCGAAAGTTCAATCGTTTTCATTTTCCGTGCATTCGGCTTTGAGAAACAGACGGCCAATTACGTTACCTATGCATTCGTTTACGCAAGCATACCTTTTCGTGCAGAGTTCTGGCAAACAATTTCGTGAATGTGCGATCAAATGTACATTTTTTTCTCATTCAAAATGGCAGATTTCATCACATATTAAACATTAAACTGAAAGTGAAATAGAATGACCAATGTTTGAAATCGCCCTCTAAAAGCGAAAAGGAAGTCTAAAACGAATCTGAATGAGCATAAACGAAAGGTGCTGCTCAATCACTTAATTGATTGAACTGAAATGGAATCGAATGTTCTGGTAGCGAACATGAAACTCGTGTTCAGAGCGATTCTCAAATTCAGACGAAAATAAATGACCGATTTTCAGAAGTGAATGAACATTTTAGGAAATTGGCCGGGAAAACCTATACTATATAGATAAATACCACGAGGAGCAACAAAACTGGTCATGACGGGGAAAGAGAAGATACTGTGCTACTTAATGCGATAAAAGATGGTTCTTGAAACTGACTTGAAATTTGCCTACAGAGGACTGTGATGTATAGACTGAATCCCATTCCACAAACGAGGAACTAGACGTGACCGGTGAATATGTACTTGTAAGTATCGCGAACTGAAGTGAAATATGAAGAAAAGAAGCGGGGAAAAAGGCAATTATAATACCAGTTTGTAATATTTATCAATATCAGTTGGTGTCAATGTGAGTAATTTTTGCCCATTTTTTGCCAAGAAGACAAAAAAAGAGAAAAGAATGAAAGTGCTCTCTTGTAAAAGATGGCTCAAACGCAACCAAGCCAAACAAAAATGTTATATGACGCACACACACTGTCCCTCTATAAGGACATCAATCCGGAAGGCAGTGAGAATAAACCTCCCACGGATTTCTGTTGTCCAACTGGCCGTTAAGATAATTAGGGGGCAGGGAGGAACGTCCCCCGGCTCAAAGTTTGTGCCCCCCCCCCGCACTTGTCCCCCACTCGAACTTTGGGAGAGGCAAAAAGTGTTTTTACTGCTTAAACCAGCAGGGTCTCTTCAGGAATTATGTCCCCAAGTTGTCCATGCATGCACCCGGTCATTACGCCACTGCCGCGCAAAGGGCAATAGCGACTATGGCGGATCTGGGATCCCCCACCATGGGCGTTGCGAGGGAGGGGGGGGGGCAAGGGGCACTTCCCCCCACCCCGGAAAACAACAACAAAAAGAGAGAAGCAAAAAAGAAGAGGCGAGGTGTGAAGTCATAATGCTGTTACTTTAATGCACATTTCACAACATGGGCGTCCGCAGGGGTGTCATTGGCGTGGGGTGGGCAAATGTCCCCCCCCCCCTCCGGCCCACCTTCGAAAAAAATGACAAATTGAGAATGTGCTAGAGAAAGTACATGTTGTCGCGCCATCGCAAGTACGAGCTAGCTCCAAATATTAAATATCCGGTCTCTTTTTTGCGGGGCATTTTGAGGCCACAGTATACTAGTGTAGACGTGGACTCCAGCCGTCTTGCTCTCCTGTTCAACGTGTAACGTAAACACGCACGGTACGCACACGCGATCGAGAGTCAACAAGATGGCGGAACGAACGATGTCAGATCACAGCAGGCACACAAGAATCGTTCGTATTTTGTCTGCCCTCTTCTACGGATTGACATCATTTACACTTGTTATGGTAAACAAGAGTGTTCTGACGAATTACAAGTAAGTGAGCTCTGAGCCAAATCGTGGTTAAACCATGAAACAGTGCTTAGACATCCGACACGTCTACACAGACAGTGTACATGTACATGTATGTACACATGTTTATTGCACAAACTTCCAAGTTTCACACTGGCAAAACCGACTGTCTCAGTGTCTGTAGTTACACAGTTGTAGATGCAACTCGTTCGGAAAGAATTATATACATGGACATCACTAGTTTTTCCCTGAATAGTACTGACCTAGCCTATCAGCTTTCAGAAAGCAATAACATGTCCTTAAATTAAAGTAAAATTTAGCACTCGCAGGAAAAATATTGATGCACGTAAATGAGACAACACTTTAAAATTTGTGCAGACTAGTCTCATACTTCATAGGGTTTGTGCATGCACAGGGTGTCATCAAGTGATTTCCAGATATGAAAATCTTTCTGAAAATGTATCTCAGTCTCAGATTCATACAGGTGTTAACAGTTCAATATTTTCCCATAAATTCCAATGACTGACCTTCATTGAGATAATGATTATAAATATAAGCCTATTATATGACAAAAAAGTCAGGATGTAACATTCTTTCCGAGAATGGTCTATGGCGAAACAGTTGTCTTTCAATGCCATTGTTCTTTGTCATGGAGTTGTTTACGCTCTTGAAGAAAATATCAGCCTCTTGGATGTTGGAACGTTTCCCGGGAAATTGAACCTTGTCCAGCTTTTTTTCCATTTTGTTTAGGGGGCCAAGTAGGCCTATAGCAAATGTTTGTGTTATTTGTCATTGTCCAAAACCAATAAGAATGTTCCCCATGTCCCTTTTATTTCAGATTCCCATCTTTCCAGTTCCTTGGTGTCGGACAGGTAAACATGTACATAAACGTAACCACTTAAGTCCACTTGTTGTACCGAGTTAATCATTTAAGAGTGAAAAGCAGACTTCTTCTAAAGTGCGCAACATCTTCCTCGAATGTTCAGTGCACAACGAAGAATTGAGAATTGCTCCTTCTATTCCCAAGTTGCTGTGCCAAGAACTCCATCCTCCTTATGCATTTACACCTATACCCCTTCAATTCCCTTCGGCACCTACTCCTAGAACTATGAAGCTCCACGCAGTGGAGCCTCATAGGTTCAGAACCCCGCAAAATTGTTGTCAGCACAAAACACTAATTAAGTACAAAAACGTCCATCCCAACCAAGCTTCTTCCCACAGAACCGCTGCACAGTTTGTCCCTAAACTCCGTACAATACCTCATGACATACTCACGTTATGTGCACCCAACAAACATCGGTGGATTCTGTCTGTTTTTCGGCAAAAATGATGAAAAATATGCCCTTTCCGCACTGAGCCAACCTGACACTTGAAACGTGCACGCGCGCAGAATGATTGCAGTCATTTTCGGGTTCGATCGCTCAGAGCGCGCCGCTCCGCTCCTACACCATACCCCCCGCGGCGCGTTCCGAGCGATTGGATCGAAAATGACTGCGATCATTCTGCACGCGTGCACGTTTCAAGTGTCGGGTTGGCTCAGTGCGGAAAGGGCATATTTTTCATCATTTTTGCAAAAAACAGACAGAATCCACCGATGTTTGTTGGGTGCACATTACGTGAGTATGTCATGAGGTATTGTACGGAGTTTAGGGGCAAACTGTGCAGCGGTTCTGTGGGAAAAAGCTTGGTTGGGATGGACGTTTTTGTACTTGATTAGTGTTTTGTGCTGACAACAATTCTGAACCTATGAGGCTCCACTACGTGGAGCATCATAGTTCTAGGAGTATTCACCACCCCTTCTCCCAACCCCTCACCCCTAGCCAACTTCCCCCGCCTCCCCCTCCCCCCACCCCCCCCTTACCAGTGGTGTAAATTTCTGGGAAGATCCCGGGGCTATATACAGTCGATTTTCGTTAATACAAACTCGTTCGGACCTAGCCAAATTGTTTGTTATATCAGAATTTTGTATTAAGAGAAACATCAGTCCCATTCATTGTGCACATAAATGCACAGTCAGGACTAAGGCTTTATGTTTGTTATAACCAGAATTTTGTATTAACAGAGATTGTACTAACAAGATTCAACTGTACATTTGTGAAGGGGTGGCACTGAAGGCACAGGATATATATTTTTGTTCAAATCAAGATTTTAAACGGGGGACACCGGTGGGGGGAGGGGGGAGGGAGGGGGGAGGGGGGTCACGGACATCTGTTTGGGGGTACGTGCCCTCCCCCCACTCCCCTGTAGTTGCCCCACTTCCCCCTAGTCTTACTTTACTAAGGCCAACAAAAAAACTCTGTGTCCGATTACATGGCATTCAAAAATAGGGTAGGTAGGTAGGAAATTTTTTCCCCCCAATTTTGTTTTGTGTACGATCATATGGAGGCGTCTGCGTGTAATCAAGGGTAAAAGGTAGAAATTGATGGTTTTGGGTGTTTTGTTCTCATTTTTCTTATAAAAAGAATTGGGTTGGGGCTGTCAGAATAGGGTAGGAAGGGAAACCGGAAGCAAAACTATTTTTTTTTGCCTAACCCATTTCTAGCCTTATATCCTAACTCAGAACTCCCATTGCCTCCCTCACTTTGCCTCCCTTCTGACCTCTGAACCCTAGCTCCTCCGAGCCCATTTCACCACACCCAACCCCCCAACCCTTTGCCCCTCCCCTTCCACCTGCTGGCCTCACTCTACATTCCCTCACTCCATCTGAATATCCTGAATATTTGTTAGTCCTCAGTAAATATAAACAGCCACAGCTAAAGCTTTACTAACCATTTCCTGTATTGACATAAACTATAGGTAAACAATCTTCTGTAGATAAAATGAATATTCATTAGTCCTCAGTAAATATAAACAGCTACAGCCAAAGCTTTACTAACCATTACCTGTATTGACATAAACTATTGGTAAACAATCTTCTATAGATACAATGTACGTGTATGTACTGGTATGTACTTGCATAATATACACATATAGACTGGCAATGAGGTCACTATCACACGTCTATGCGCCCAAGGGACTGTGAGTGACCAAAAGAGGGTCCTATTTCCGGAGGTTGAAGGCCAAGGGAAATAGGACCCTCTTAACAGGACCGAGGGGGCATAAACGTGCACTAGGGACCAAATTATGCCAGTCCATATGTATTTTATAACTCACCTCTGTCAAAAATTTAAGATAAGAAAAGAAACCTTTCAGCTGGGGTTTTATTATTGAACCGTTTTAATTCAACAATTAACTCATAAGCAATTCAACTGTAAGCAATTCAACAATTAAAGGAACGCTTTTAGTTTCCCTAAATTACATTTTCGAGTTTGAGTTTTGTCAGAGGGCGCTGTTACCAGTCAAAAATTTGAGAGTATAGAGCCCGATCAGGCACTATACTCTGGAAATTACGCACGCACGATGTCTTGACCCGGGTCTAGTTCACGCTGACGCAAGTTTCATACACTAGCCTATATTAGTGAATCACATGTGACCGCGTTTCAGCCAACCAGGATAAAGAACAAGCAAGAGGTGTGTTATAATGTACAAATATTGACTGTTTGATCCTTTATGGCAAACTATTTCCCCAAAGTGGATCTTGGAGGAAATAGAACCCTCTATGGATCAGCAAGGGAGGATATATTTTTTTGGATAATTAATGTACAGTCCATAACTGTTATATAATACCTCACCCATGGATTTTGCACAGTTGAATAAATATGTGATTGAGTAAACCCAACTCAACAGTGGCAAATCCAGTGGGGAGGGGGATTTTTTTTTATCAGTATTTATAAAAAAGATGCAAAATGAAATTTGAAAGTTTTTAAAAGGAAACGAAAATGCCAGCAGCTCAAAACCACTACTGCTGTAATTTTAATGCTCCCTCCTGTTCTTAATCATTTTCACAAACGTAAAAAAAATTGGGGCCACTTGCACAGAAAAAAAATACCCATTTCAAGGGGGGAGGGGGGACTCACAATTTTCCAAACCCTACAAAATAAAATTAAAAAATATGACCAGTCTCAAAAATTTAAAATTAGAACAGTCTCAAAAATTATCCAGTTTTTGCAAATCTCTGCCAGTATGTGCACCAGTTGATCAAAAGTCCATCACAAGTCATTCAGTCTTAAGCCAAGTGACTAGATACACTCAACCAAAAAAGGAAGTCCCCCCTTAATACTTTTTGTCTAACTCAAAAACAACTGGGCACATCTTGCTCAAATTACGACTCATAAGTGCAGAAATTCCTTAGCAATCCAGCCATACTCTTTGTTTGGCCCAAAACAGTTATAATATGTACAAAATTATGCAGTTTGTGATAAATGGTACTCCCCAAAAAGTTTCACTTTTGTATATATGTGCAAGGTGAGTGTGAACCACAACTTTCACGTATACATAAGTGCAACTGTTTTCGGTATCATTTGTCATAAATTGCATAAATGCGTACACATTATCACTGTTTTGGGCCAAATAAAGAGTATGGCTGGATTGCTAAGGAATTTCTGTACTGATTAGTCGTTATTTGAGCGAGAGATGCTCAGTAGTTTTGGAGTTAAGCAAAAAGTATTGGAAGGGGGGACTTTCTTTTTTGGTTGAGTGTATTCATTCCACTGAACTGTGACAAATGCATTCCTTTGAAACTTACTGTGTACGTTCAACCCATTGTACTTGTGATTTGACTTGTGATTGACTGGAGAGCAGCAGCACCATTTCATGTAACGTTGGTGGCTTGTTAAATTTTTGGTCACGTCTAGATGGTCACTACAATTCTGGTGTTATACGTGGGTAAAAAGCTGCGCATTGTGAGCTTCCCGGACTGGAGCAGACAGATTATCACAAAGGTAAACAGTTTTGCCCTCTGCATTTGGAAATTTCTAAGAATATTATTGTACCTTTTTCTAAACTAGAATATTGTCACAGTGGAACTTGTTCTTAATTCCCTTTGAATAATATTCATAAATACCTAAGATGCTTGACCAATTCCCATTGGTCGTTTGGACTCCTAGAAATCCAGTGGCTTTTATTGGTTGAGCGTTCACAATCATCACGTAGGCATGCACAATACTACCAGTGGGTCAGTATTTCATAGTCCTAAATTCACAACGCACTCACCACAGCTGCATCTGCGCGTCATCGCGCAGTACGAGCGATGCGCGCGCCAATCTCCATCAAAGGAGTTGTTTACGTCTTACTCGCGAGCTGCACACTCCATTATTTAGCTCGAGGGGTGTTTCGAAAAACAGCAAGTGAAATTGTTGAACAAAATCATTGGAAATTTTTATTTTTTGACTGTTTTGTCTCGGGTAATTATCAGCATTCCAGACTCCAACCAGTCTTAAACGTAGTGTTTAACACCTCCCAAGCACACATTTATTCCCTTAATAAAAATGAATTCAAATATTACCTGTCGCAATTTAGTTTTTTGTGGGTTTATTTTTGTGTGTATTTTTTTTTCCAGCTGAGAAAGTCACATTATTGGGGGCTGTTTGAAGGCAGTATACCCCCCTCTATTTCCAAATTTGTTAAATTCTTTAAAAGTACCTAAGAGTCCTAATGTTTTTACCTTATGGATGTCTTTCTTCAGGTTTCAAACGCCTTTATTTTACCTGGGCTTGATGTCACAATTTGGCTTATAAAGCGCAAAACAATTTAAATTTAAATCACTGTGTAGTGTTGGTTTTGATGGATTCAGAAATTTGCCTAGTGATAAACTTCCCAGGAAGTTGGGCTTCAGGAAACCACTTACACCTTCCAAATCCTTTTTTTCCTTCAGATATGGCCACTGCCGTTAGTCTACATGGGCAATCTGTGTTTTGGCCTCGGAAGCACGAAGAGATTAAAGTGGGTGTGCTCAGATGTTCATTTCCTTCTTATAAGGGCTAGAATTGCTAGCCTTCGAAGCTAGCATACCTGAGATTTTTGCTGGAAAAAGTCCACTTTACTTAGAATGAATTATGAAAGGAAACCATTTTAACCCTAACCGCCCTGAATCCTTCAAAATCCTCTTTGCCAAAGTGGAGGCATTTGGAGGATTGAGGTTACGTGGCAAAAGTGAGTTACTGATTTCGTAGGATGCACCATGTCAAGGTCTGGGCCGGACCTTGTGTTGTTTTTGCTCAGCCATGCATAAATATAGGCCTGGATTATGCTTGAAATCCTCCGTACTGCTCCAGGATGTCACTGGCCAAGCCTCAACATACTGACAGTCACTGCTGCAGGATTTTGCAGGATTCAGGCAGTGGTCACCCCTCCACAGACCACATTCAAGAAATAATGGAGGAATTTGCAGGATTGAGGCTATATGCTATTTTTCCATAAGGCCAATTGGAGGATTTTGCAGGATTGAGGCTACATCCTAGCAAAAAAGGCCTAGGGCGTTAGGGTTTAACAAAAAAAGCGCTTCGTACACTTTGCACTGTATTGTTTTTATCAAACTATTTGGCACATTTGAGATATGCTCTTCTTTAACAGTAATATACAACATTGGCAAACATCAAAAAACAAAACTACCAAATTATTCTGAAATACCTTACTTTACTGTAACTGAATAATAGTCTCAAGCATCCTGTGAAATCATGGCACGGTGTGCTGTCATTTGCAAGAAAAGTGGAATTTTTGTCTCAATTTCCAATGATAGTTGGCCGACCATTGTTCAAAACAAAATGACTTTTTTTTCTTCAAAAACTGCCCCAAATTTACCAAATTTAGTTAGTCCACATTTTGTTTGCAATCGGTTACATATCTGTGAACTTGTGCAAGCATTGCTTGATAAAAACGAATTGGTAATTGTTCTGTTTACACCTGTTTTTGTTTTTCACAGTTTACCAATGTTCACAGTGCTTAGGCGATTCTCTATTCTATTTACAATGATAGGAGAATACATTGTTTTAGGGTAAGTACAAATGATTGACAGTTTTTACTGATTCTTCTCCTAGGAGCTGAAATCTAGTCACAAGCCACTCATTAGTCAATCATAAGTCCATAATTAGTCAATCACAAGTCAATCACGAGTCAATCACAAGTCAATCATTAGTCAATCACAAGACAATCACAAGTTAATCACGAGTCAATCACAAGTCAATCATTAGTCAATCACAAGACAATCACAAGTTAATCACGAGTCAATCACAAGTCAATCATTAGTCAATCACAAGACAATCACAAGTCAATCATTAGTCAATCACAAGACAATCACAAGTTAATCACGAGTCAATCACAAGTCAATCATTAGTCAATCACAAGACAATCACAAGTCAATCATTAGTCAATCACAAGACAATCACAAGTTAATCACGAGTCAATCATTAGTCAATCACAAGTCAATCATTAGTCAATCACAAGACAATCACAAGTTAATCACGAGTCAATCATTAGTCAATCACAAGACAATCACAAGTTAATCACGAGTCAATCACAAGTCAATCGCAGACTTTTTATTGACATTTACAACTTGTGTTAATTTTCAGACATAAAGCCTCTCTGAAGGTACAGATAGTGGTCTGCGTGATGATACTGGGTGCATTTGTCGCAGCAAGGTAAGAAAACATCGCAATAAATATCCTGGATAAGGGTCGTTCCGTGTCAAATTACCCGAAAAAATTGAACGTTTTTTTAAACCCCACCCCCTTCAAAGTGGCTCATATTTAGTGAATGGGGTGATTTAGGCTTATTCATTTAAATTTTAGTCGTCTTATGAATTTGCAACAAGTATGCCAACTTAAGATGAGCTACAAAGTAAATAAAAAATATTAAGCCCCCAATTTTTGGATATTTTGTAGAAAACATGTAGGGTATAATTTTGATCCAAGTTCGACTCAAGGTCACATGATCCACAAGGTCAAATTCAAGGTGAAATTCAAGGTCAAAAGGTCATCATACTTCAAATAGCTCTGACATGAAAAGTAATGGTCAGTTTGGATTTCTTATGATGTAACGTATCCAAAGAAACCAAAATCTAACAATTTGGCCCTTGGGTCATTTGAAAGTTGGTGGCCACGCCCATTTTGGCCAACATTGCCAACAGATTATGGACAGTGGCGTAAAAACCGTTGGTCCAACGGCACTAAAACTTAAATTACAGCTTTTTCAGCCAAAATTACCCCATACACACTAAATATGAACCAATTTGAAGGGAGTGGGGTTTAAAGGGAATGTACATCATTGGCTTTTGCTGTAATTTTCAGAAATGGAGTATTTGAGGGGTTAGTATAATAGATCAAATATTGTTACACTGACATGTTTGAAGTTTTATGTTCGAAAATGCTGGAAAAACCAAGAAAACAAAATTGTTCAAGTAGTCTGGTTACCTGACTCCTCTAAAGATGAAATGGATCAATTTATAGTTGCCAGAAAATTGTAAGGTAAGGGAACTAGTCTAGCTGGCCTGCACCCGTTCATGAACATGTAACCAATACCAAACAAAATTTGGACTGAAAAAAGGTAAATTTGGAGCAGTAGTTGAAATATAGTTAGGTTTTTCCAACGGTGGTCGGCCGACCACCGTTGGAAATGTATACAAAAATACCATTTTCTTGAAAATGACTTCACACCAGGTGCCATAATTTTACAGGATGCTTTCGACTGTCATTTACCAACATCCTAGTAAGGTATTTCTTAAAAACTAGGTAGTTTTATTTCTCGATGTTTGCAAATGTTGTACATTCCCTTTAACCCATTGGGTGATCTGACATGAAATGACCCAACTTTTCTATTTCTAGGAAAATAGCAATTGAAAAAACAAAATCTATTTTTTGAGGTGAAACTCGAAATAGCACGGGGAATGCATCTTTAAGGTTTTACCTGGAAGTATTTTTATGTATTTCAAAAAAAAATTGATACATTTGATCCAAAAAAGTTATTGTAAAAAAGAAAATACAGTTTTTTACCACTTTTTTTGTCTGTTCTCTCCACAGTGGCGATTTGGCGTTTGATGCCTTAGGTTATTTCTTCATTCTGATGAATGACTTTTTCACAGCTGCCAACGGGGTATTCATCAAGAAAAAGCTAGAATCCAAGGTGTGATGCATTTTTGAAAGTAACTGTGTCATGAGAAAGATATTTGGCTCACAGGACCATCGCATATTTCTCCAAGCAATTTTCAAAATGGCTGCCATTGCTTTTGAATAATTGAATATTTAATTTTTTTAAAATAGACAGCCGACTGTTGACGTATCAGGGTAAAAGTGCACTAATGAGCTCTCCCTGTATTTCTTATGCTTCGCTTTTCAGGATTTGGGAAAGTACGGACTTTTGTATTACAATGCCCTCTTCATGATAGTTCCTGCTCTCTTCGTGTGCTACTCCTCCGGCGATATTGAGAAAGTCTGGGCGTTTCCTTTATGGAACGATCCCACTTTTATTGTACAGTTTGTATTGTCTTCCATAATAGGGTGAGTTTTTAAATTTGTATTTAGTATGTGTGTTTAGTATTCATATATACCTGAGACAGTTTACCAATTCCTATTGGTCGAGGGCCCATCACGTGGGTGGTTTTAAACCGCCAGTAAAACACTGCTGCATTCTGCGCCCCATTGTACAGTACGCACCATGCGCGAACCAATCTCCATTTTAGAGATTTTTAGCACTACGTGCATGAGGCACATACTATAGACATGGTAAGAAGGGTGTTTCACAAACATGAAGTAAAATTAATGGGCCTTATGCATGAGTTAACCATTTTTGTCGAGTTCCCTGAATGTATTTCATAATTGTTAACTGTTGAATGGGATGGCGCCAGACTATTTATGCAGCCTTATTTTACTGTCCTTTTTTTTTTCGTGCTTAAAACATTAGGGAATGTTTAATTACCAATTTTAAATTATTCATTAAAGCAGACTTGAATTAATTAGTAATTTACTTGCTTTCATTTCTCTTCGCAAGTTTCAAAATTGAAGATTTTACCTCACTTGCAATTCAATATAGCCGACTCTTGCATGAGGCCCATTGAAATATTTGTCAATATTTGGCTTATTTTGACTTTTGACTGAAAAGCCTTCGATGGGCGTTCGATTATCCTGCATGACCCGTGACCCATGTCATTGTGTGCATGCGCATTTGAAATACCGAACTGGCTTATTGAATAGAATATTGTGTACTCTAAGACCAGCTCTGATAGGCTTGCCTTATCTTGTTCTTCTCAACATACATTTAAGGTAAACTCCAAGCTATTTCCCATCATGTCACCAAACATTACCCCTAATTCAAAGGTTAAAAGCATTCTGTGTACAATGATGAAACGTAGGGAACATCTAAAAAATTAGAATGTTTGTAATGTGCCGCTGGGGAACATCGCCTGTTCCAATAAGCCATATGCGAGTAACCTATACCCTTTGGGATTTACATTTGAAAAACATCTGGTACACTGACTTGCTCAGAATGCTTGGCACGTTTGAACTTTGAATTCTCCAGACCAAAGACACTGTTGCTAATCACATGATTCAGGGCAAGCTCTTGCATAGTTACGTAAGAGACGTTCAGCACCAATACATTGTTCACAATGGGAGAGGATGGCACAAAGACACCAGACCATACCGGAGCTGGCGGTTGCTAGCATAAGGCTTGCCCCGAATCACGTGATATAGTAACAGTCTCTTTGGTCGGGAGAATGCAAAGTGAAAATGTGCAAAGCATTGGATTAAGTCAGCTTTCCAGATTTTATTCAAATGTAACTCGCAAATGGCTTATTGGGAACTAGCGTTGCTCCCAATGGGAACAACCCGGGAGTGTCAGGTGCTTCCCTGAGGGAACGTTGGTCTATGCGCATGCATGCTTACTCGGGAACAGCCTGAAACACAGTGTTCCTAAAAGGAAGGTTCCATGTGGAACTGGAACGTTCCGACTTTTGAGATGCTGCCTTGTCTTGAAGACCACCATTTTACATTTGACATCTTGACTTTGTCTTTCTGTATTCAGGTTTATATTAATTTATTCAGTGGTGCTCTGCACAGCGCACAACTCGCCTCTGACAACGACGTTTGTGGGCTGTCTCAAGGTACGCAATGATGAATTTGAATGATCAGTATTGTGGAGGTCCCCTAAGGTTGCGCAGCCACTAAGGTTGCGCAGCCCCTAACATGGCGTAGCCCCTAGCGTGGCGCAGCCCCTAGCGTGGCGCAGCCCCTAGCGTGGCGCAGCCCCTAGCGTGGCGCAGCCCCTAGCGTGGCGCAGCCCCTAGCGTGGCGCAGCCCCTAGCGTGGCGCAGCCCCTAGCGTGGCGCAGCCCCTAGCGCGGCGCAGCCCCTAATGCGGCGCAGGAAGGAGATTACGATGTTGGTCATTTTGTTATTTTTTTTTTTTGCAGAATATAATGATAACCTACATTGGTATATTTTTTGGAGGGGACTATATATTCAGTGTGGTCAACTTCGTCGGCCTCAACATGAGGTATGTGGTTTATTTACTACATTATTTTAATTCATTAAAATGTTTATTTAGTAAATCATCAAGTCAATTTTCTGTGGCACCCTGTAAGATATTTTACCCCTCAAAAAGGAGATGTAAATTGCATTCTAAATAAAATAGGAAAAGCCTGAAATGTTGTCACCACTTTCTCACAAGTCTTCTATTAAAATGGTTTTGATGCTTGTTTTGTCTACATGCACAATAAGCCAGTTCGTAATCTCGATTAAGTAGTCCAGGTCAAAGGTCATTCGCGATAAAATTGCTGACGCGATGTTACGCAATATCAATTACACGAACGCCCATTCTGTTCATAATTAGTGCGCGAGCGTCATGCGACCATCTCCTTGCGTGGTCACGCGTCTTCGATGAGTGTTCGTAAATGGCAACAAAGCTACCACTAATAGGCAGTTTGTGTGGTGATGAGTTTCAATTTTTCGCTGAATTAGAAAGTGTCTCTGGCAGCTATCATTGAAGAGAGGGGCACTACTTTTCAGTATTTGAAAATTATGCAGTTGGAATGTTTGTAAATAAGCCATTTGCGAGTAACCTATACCCTTTGGGATTTACATTTCAATAACATCTGGTACACTGACTTGCTCAGAATGCTTGGCACATTTTAACTTTGAATTCTCCAGACCAAAGACACTGTTGCTAATCACATGATTCGGGGCAAGCTCTTGCATAGTATCGTAAGAGACGCTCAGCATCAATACATCGCTCACAATGGGTGAGAATGGCACAAAGACACCAGACCATGCCAGAGCTGGGTGTTGCTAGCGTAAGGCTTGCCCCGAATCAGGTGATGTAGTAACAGTCTCTTTGGTCGGGAGAATGCAAAGTTAAAATGTGCAAAGCATTGGATTAAGTCAGCGTTCCAGATTTTATTCAAATTTAACTCGCAAATGGCTTATTGCCTTCGTGCAGACAATGTGGCAATATTGCCCACTGGTAATGGTAAGAGTAAGTTTTCCAATAGCCGTGTGTTCAACTGACATCCACACGCAAAGCTGTAAACATCATTTGCAAAAAAATCATACTGCGCAGGTGTTCAGGTGATCCAATCAATGGCCTTAAATGGGAGTGGGAACCAGTCTAGGTCTAAGGGCCCTGTTCACAATTACCCCCCCCCCCCCCTTCAACGGTTGCAAGAGGAGAGTTGTGGAAACCACTGGGAGGGACATTGGTATACATTGCCGACGACGCCCGACGCAAAGACGCTATGGCTTTGTGGACATTCAGAATATAATTTATAGTTGTGTATACTTCGCGCGCCCAAGACACAGTGGACCTCTAACATCCCACTGCCCCTACGGCCAGTAATGGCTATGGGATCTTTACCTTTAGCTTTTTGTACTTCGCGCTATAGCGCACCAGAACACGTACGCTATGTGTCCCATCCTCTGGGCTCTCGAAAGTTGTCAAGAAAGCATCATCTACTGGTCATGCACGGACTCGACAGAGAAAACTTTAAATGGAAAATTTTGTTTTTATCAAAAAATATTTGCTCTAACTTGTAAGATATCTTCTCTTTTTTTTTTAGCTGCAGGATAGCAGCTCAACAAATCATCGTGACTCTTCGTTAGTTAGTAACAAAAGCTCACATTGTCTATTGCTCCTACATGTTTTGACCGATTTCAACCAAACTTTGTCAAAAGTATCAGTAGCCGAACCCCAACATGTCACATGACCAAATACTGGGGTCAAAGGTCATTATGGGGTCACTGGGGTCAAAAAGCTGATTTTTTTTTACTCAAAACACTCCTCCTTCCAGAAATGACATGGCACAATCACGTGACTCATGCATGAACACAAAATTCATTGGCCCGCAGCTTCCGAGATATTTCCGATCGAGCTTGTTCTTTTTGTTTCTTTCAGTGTTGCAGGGAGTGTAGTCTACTCCTATTTCACCTTCACAGAAAACCAAAAGCCTGCGATGACCTCATCGCCAGAGTCAGCGGCTGATAAAAAGACTAACGGCAAGGGTATAATAAACACTGTATAGCGGCTGTTACATGTAGCTGCACTTCGCATGCTCACACCCTTCATACACTTCAGTATTTCATTACTTTATCTGGGCAGCTGAAGATTTTGTCAGTGGTTCATTCATGAAATAGCTGTAGATGATAGTATTCCACTCCATGACACTGCCACAATATCTCTATTTCTTTGACATAATGAGATGACCCCTGGGATTCTTGTGTCTTCCAAACATGAAACAGTTGTTGACACCATATTAAGCATACATGTAGCAACAGATACATGTAAGATTTCAATTTGTTCCAGTCATGAAACAGTAGTTGACAATTTGTTCAACATAAGGTAGCTTGGGTAGTGTATTGTGCTCAACAATCCACAGTGTTTACTGACAAACATTTGCAGGCTATTGGATAGCCAAATGTTGCAATGACACATTTTTTTAAACGAGTGTTACCCTTTTTTTTCCGACCAAGAATTCAATTTGTTTGCATGTTTTAAGGCCAGTTCAGCGTAATCAGTTTATCCTGTCTGTGTTTCCACCACACTACCTCAGATGTGTATACCACTAGTGCCACTATTTCCTTGAGTTCTAGTCAAGTCTTCCCAAGTCCATCACAAGTCTTCAAACTATTCAAATGAACTGGGACAAAGGCATTCCCTTGTAACTTGTGTGACTTTCCATTTGTTTTATTGAACCTGTATAGACTTAAAGTTGGTGTATAGGCCCTATACAGTAAACTCCGGCTAAGTCGGCACTCTCGGGACCCGAGAATTTGTGACGACTTACACGAATGCCGACTTTTGCTGTAAGTCGTCACTTTGCCGACTTATACGTAAATTGAATCATGGAGTAAACAAATAGATGGAATTGCCTACATGATCGCGCGGGATTATCGCGTAGCCAGACCAGCCAAATATAAAACGCGTGATTCAAAAATTAACATATAAATGTATAGCTGAAATGTCACTAGATATGAATATTTATAGAATTGCGCTCAAAACATTCTGAACTGAAGCGTGCTATTAAAAACCAAATTTAAAACTGTAAAAAGGCCTGCAAATGCAAACAAGCAATTTTATTTGCTACTGGGCATCATATTCCTTTAAATTCGTTCAAAAAAGAAAATCTTGAAAAGCATGTTTATACCAACTTTAAGATTGACTTGTGATCGACTTGTGATCGACTTGTGATTGTCTTATGATCGACTATATGATTGGTTATGACTGGATGTTGATGGCCATTATGAAATTGGGCCCTAAAATTGCTCTATTTTTCAAATTGGCGATGGGCCACATGACTATTTTTTAGAGGTGATCATCTTTGGATGGAATTTTTTTCCAAAGGTCACTGGAATAGGATGAAACAAGCTTTAATTTGATGGGTGTGTCAAACACCTTGGAGAGTTGTGAGTATTTTTAATAATTTTTGGAAGAATGCATAATTATCACTGAGGTCTATGGGAGTCGATTTACAGGTCTGCACCCGGAAGATGCCATGTGTCTGAATCTCTGGCGCCCTCTGTTGTTATAAACAAGACAGTTTAACCCTCCGATCAAACTTCAATCTTTTCAAAGCCAGCTGAAGGGAAATATTGAAACTTTCCTTTATTTTTCAGTTTCCAAGAAACTGGATTCCAAAAACTAAAAAAAAAGCACTTTCTTCATATTCACACACAAGTCGTGTCATTTTTGACTGCCAGAATCTGTCGATGGAGGGCGCTTGAGCATTGGATTCGCTTGTGTCTACCACTTTATCCAAGGTACTGGTGACAGCTTATCTTTTTTTTTATTCAAGGAAATGCAAAGGATTGTGGGTACTTTAACACCATGGTCTATGGATGTATATTCCTGCTGCTGAATATACGGCATATTTAAATATTCGATCATCCAACGAAAGTGCTCTTTGCCAAATTTGAATATTCCAAAAAATGTGAGCGTAGAGCCATGGTCTATGATATATGTGAGCAGATTTGCTGATTAATTATGCAAGACCACCTCTTGACCTCTAGATTTTGACCAATCAGGGGGCGCTTTCTATATCGGGTCTTCGGTCATTCACTCGTTATGGCGTCATAGACATGGATAAAAAAAAAAACCTAGACACAGCAAACAAAGGCTGTGGTCACGCGCTGTGTATTATGTTACGCAATACGCGCCAAGCTTGTCTAGGTTATCTACGCTCGGCCATTGTAATACAAAACACTGCTTCGAATTGACCAAGCAAACATTTTGTCCTGATTTGGGAATGAAATGACGTCACGATTTAGTAAAGTTGACTCCGATTGGTTGAGGCGCGGGATCGCATAAATCTGCATGCTTAGATATATCAGACGTTCGACCAGGGACAGGGCTCCATGGATAACGGGTGATACTCAGACTAATTTCACTCTACACCAGAAAACAAAAGTCTAGCCGATGAGATTGCTAAGAGTTCACCAGCACCTCTGGATAAGGCCATGGGTACAAGTGAAGCACATGACTAGAACATGACGTCAGTATTCAAAAGTTTTTGGCAATATTCAATGGTTAATAAGGCCTTGAAAATGTTCATTTGTGAGCTGCAAATTAATGGCTTGTAGAATGGTGTATTCCAAGCAACTAACACTTCATTTTGTAGCAGTGTTTTAGATAAACCCTGAATGAGGCGTATTTATGACGCACAAGCTTGGTAGAGGGGGCCAGTCACATTAACATTGTTGTCCAATGGTTTTCAATTTTTGTCACTACTTGGGAACCTACAGTATATCCTCCAAAAATTGTCCGTCTAACTATTTTTGAAATAACTACTTAACCATTTAGCCAATTTTGAAAATAAAACTTTTAATTGTGCAGATACTCCTTATCCTTGGCCTCAACCCCTACGAGTTTCATTCGATTTCAGTCATGTATCACTGCACAATGGTCACTTGATCGCAGCAACATTTTTTGACACTGTGACCAAGTTCCTTGCCTAATTCAATTTCAGTGCCGTGTTATGTAAGCTGTGTAAAATCCCCCATGTTGTGAAAAAAAAAGCTGATGTGGTTTGGAGATTGGAATCATTCGCCCTTGAGCATTAAACTGAAGTCTTGCCATGATGACTGATAGCCAGGCAAATCATTCCAATCCCAACCGCAGCCCTTTTCACAACATGCAGGAACAGCACTGAAATTCATTAAGGCACCTTGGTCTGAGCGTCCAGTAATGTTGCTGCGATCAATTGACTTTTTGTGGTAATACGTGACTGAAATTAAATGAAACTCATAGGGCAAAGTCGACTAGTTACTTCAGAAAAACTAGGTGAATATACAGGGTGGATCAAAAAAAACGAAACCGAGATATTATTGCTAATTGGAACAGAAGTAGTGCACATGTGAATCAAAGGGAGATATCCTCTGTCAGGGTTGAATCTCCTCCTTTAAATGACACCCTGATCCTGTCATTACATTCACGGTTGACTGAGCAGTGACCAATTTTATAAAAGGGTCTATTTAGAGAATTGCGCCACTTTTCAATTGTGGTTTTGTGTTGTCATTTGTCACAGAGTGAAAGGTTATATGGTTGCCAATCAATGCAGGTGGGGGGAAAAAAAGGATTTCACCATGAAAAGTGGCGCAAGTCTCTAAATAGACCCTTGTATATCATGTTCGCTTTATCAAATTTTAAAAAAAAATCATATGAAACAAACACAGAACTTTTAGAGGTGTCATTTGAGCGAGAATTACTGTTTTAAAACTGAACACAGATTTATCACAAATAAGGGAATACAGAAATTAATATCTGTTATAGTTTTTACTGTTCTTATTTTTACATTCTTCCCACCACCAAGTAAGTAAACTACGTAATAATGGTGCTATTGTTATAAATGTTTGTTGTCCGCTGACAAAATAACTTAAAGACCTACTATGTACTTCAATATGAAACTAAATGTTACGTTTTTATTTACTTTTTTATTTACTTTATGCAGTGTAAATAGGAAAACCACTTTTTGTTACTTTTTTAATGCATATTTTGCAGAGGCATATTTTTATATAAATTTTTTTTATTAATGCATGTGAAAAATGTGATGTTTCTACATGTCTGTTGTCTTTTTAAGTTTGTTCATTGGAAATTCCCCCTTTTTTGCCCAGCGCAGAATTATTGGGAAGAAATACGAGTAAAGTAACTTATTTGGTCGGGGAAAAAAAAAAAAATTCTTCACATCTTGACTTTTCATTCCTAATTGTGTTGGACGAAATCACCGCCGAGTTCTCTTTATCGAGAAACACAATTTTTATTTTCTTAAAAGGCCATGGATCCAGTAACCATCATTATCACCTGAAAATTTATTTCTGACATTTCCAAAAAAAATATTTCTCATTGTAGAACTACTCATACAGACTAGTCCACTGCAGATTGTGAAGTACATGCATAGAAAGGGCAGTGTTGTAGTACTCGTACTCGAGTAATACTCGAGTACTTTTTTTTAGAGTACTCGTACTCGTACTCGAATGTCAAAGTACTCGTACTCAAAACGACGGTACTCGTACTCAGGCAGCAAAGTACTCGTACTCGACATGTCGAAATTGTATTCGATCTTCAAAGTACTCATACTCAAATAACAGTACTCGAAAAGAAAAAAAAAATGGTATAGCTTGACTTACCACGGCCTTATTTTATTATCGATACTTTCAGCTGGAAATGGTTGATTGGCTTGCAGAGAAATCAAAGTTTCCTGATTTTCCTTTGTGCACGTCCAGACAAACACAATGAACAGCTAGCCGTGAGTGGGTCTGTATATCGGTCTGACTGGGCTTGGGCCAATTATGCACAATGAACCATTTGCCGTATTGCCGTATTCGGAAAAAGAAGTACTCGCACTCGTACTCGACATACAAGTACTCGTACTCGGAGACCTGTACTTGTACTCGGAAGTACTCCTACTCAGTCATGTCAGTAATCTAAGTACTCGGCAGTACTCGGTACTCGGGAAAAAGTACTCGACTACAACACTGGTATGTGGTCATAAAACAAAATACAGATCTGGAAAAACAAGAAACTCTCTCTTGGCCCATAATAGAGAAACAAGATTTTTTTCTCAAATGGCCATGAACCTATGAAGTGAAATTTACAGGCATTGGGTATTCCATTTTTTTTATTGCAAATGGTGGAAAACTATAAGTTTTAGTTTAGTTTGTTTGTTTCTTGGATTGGTAAAGTTGGCAATAACCAGTATTTTTGATGGGTTATGTGCAATGATTTTGGTTTATTGTCAGTTAGAAATGACAATATTGTTAACAAAAGTTCACGCACAGAAATGTTGGAGATTCTCGTGTTTTATACCTACCATTGGCCACCTTAGGCCATCAGCCTCGGTCAACAATTTGGGTTTTTTTTCCTGAAAGAATTGTCATTTTGTCTGTTTTATTTAAAATGAAAAAAAATAAAATATTCTTTATTTTGGACATTTTCAACCCTCTGAAAATGGAGGTGCCCAAATTCTCCTAAACCTGTTGAACGAAATGATCAATAGGACTAACAAATCCCCCTCCCCCCTCCCCCCGACTCCCACCCCCCGACACCCACCCCCACCTTTGGCTATGCCGTTGTCTGAAGTGTTCTCAAAACACAAGCTACAACTCTGCTCTCTGTTCTCAGACTAAACCAGCTAGTTTCTCCATTTGCATTTTTCTTACTAATAACCTCCATTTATGCCCGTAGTATTATATGGACTAATTTGGTGACCTCAATCGGACTCGGCCGTTACTGAGTGTGCACAGTTGTAAGCTGCAAGCAAGTATATCATACCACCCCAGTAATAGACCTTTATATGCTGCCACCATTTCAGTCATGTTCCCTGTATAAAAAAAAACAGTATTGAATGATTTGGGGGATTGTTGTGCAAAAAGGAACACGACTATTTTTCCTTACATT